GCCTCCACCTCCCGGGTTCAGACGATTCTCCTGCCTCAGCCTCCTGAGTAGCTGGGATTACAGGCATGGGCCACCACACCTGGCTAATTTTTGCATTTTTTAGTAGAGATGGGGTTTCACCATGTTGGCCAGACTGGTCTTGAACTCTTGACTTAAAGTGATCCTCCCACCTTGGCCTCCCAAAGTGCTAGGATTACAGGTGTGAGCCAGCTAGCCCGACCTGCAGGTGAATTAATAGAACTTATTAATTCTATTTGCCTTTCTATCTCTTTTAATTGTAAACACCCATCAACATTATCACCATCATCATTACAGGCATTTATAGAGTGCTTAACCTGTGACAGGGACCATACACATCTTTTCTCATTTAATCTTCACTGTGTCGTCTTCTGCATTTTGGTGGTATTGTCTCCATTTCCTAAAGGAGCGCACAGCATCACCTATGGAAAATATGGATTGCTGTCCCTCCAATCCCTGGCTGTTTTTGATCCCACCTCATTTGGCTTCCCTGCCAGAAGCCATTGTGAAAACATCAGCAGCTGGTAGAGAGCCTTCTGAGAAAAGCTGTAAGGGTGTGAAGGTGCTGACCTAGGCTAGGGCTCCCTGGCAGAGTTGGCATAGTGCCCTCACACTTGTCTTTCAGACAGCATCTTTGCTGCCAGTGATGCAATAATTATCACTTTATGTATAGCTCAAACTGCAGTCTCTTACATTGCACTCTAACCTGGGTGACAGGGCGAGACGCTGTCTCAAAAAACAAAAAAAGGTAGCTTGGGCATGGTGGTGTATGTCTCTAATCCCAGCTATTTGGGAGGCTGAGGCAGGAGAATTGCTTGAACCCGGGAGATGGAGGCTGCAACAGTGAGCTGAGATCGTGCCACTGCACTCCAGCCTGGGCAACAGAGCAAGACTCTGTCTCAAAAAAAAAAAAAAAAAAAAAAAAAAAAAAAAAAAAAAAAAAAAAAAAGGGCACATTACCATCAGAGGGTTCAATGGCTGTCACATAGTATGACATTTTTATCTTCATGTGGAATAATTCAGTGTTTCTTTTCCTCCTAATTCCTAAATGAAAATGTTGGTACCTGAAGGCTTAAGGTTTTTTTTGTTCCTAATCTGTACTGTGTACTTAAATATTTTTGCAAGGTGCAGGGGGTGGAGGGGACAACACTCTTGAACTTAAAATACCAGCTCCATGCACCATTTACACTCCCTTTTGATTTTCTGCAGGGGCTGAGGGTGATCAGAGAGAACTGGATTATAGTTTGTGCCCTGATTTGTTTTCTCTTGAGGTTCTTCGTTTTGGCGTTCTTCATTTACTTATGGAACCTAGAATGTTAATTAGGTAGCAAGAGCAAATCTCTGTAGAGCTGGGGTGTTTGAGAGTATGGTTGGACCCCAAACCTGGCATCCTTTCTTTTCCAGACTCTTAACTTCTCTGGCTCCATTTCCTGCTCTGTCTTGTGGATGGCACAGAATATATGTGTGTTTTTTTTCCTTCTGATTGTAGAGGCAACACACACTTATTAACCAAAGGCTACAGAAATAAAAGGCTACAGAAATACCACCAGTGTGATCCTGCCCCCTTACGGAATTGGCAAAGCTCCCCTCCCAGGCACCCAGCACCTTCTCTGGACTGTAGTCACAGAAGTGCTTGACCTTCTTCTAAAGACTTACCTTGCTGCCCAAGCCCTAAACTCTGCCTTATGTAACCTCCATTGCTACCTCTTCCTTCTTACCTGCTTTCTCTCTCTTTTTTTTTTTTTTTTTTTTTTTGGAGACAGAGTCTTGCTTTGTCGCCCAGGCTGGAGTGCAGTGGTGCAATTCTTGGCTAATTGCAGCCTCCCAGGTTCAAGTGATTCTCCCACCTCATCCTCCCAAGTAGCTGGGATTACAGGTACATGCCACCATGCCCAGCTAATTTTTGTATTTTTATTACAGATTGGTTTTCACCATGTTGGCCAGGTTGGTCTTGAACTCCTGACCTCAGGTGATCCACCCTCCATGGCCTCCCAAAGTGCTTGGATTACAGGCATGAGCCACTGTGCCTGGCCCCTTCTTACCGGCTTCCTCATCAGCTTTATGTATCCTCAAATTACTCCTGTGTTCCAAATACCAAAATAGAAACCTCCCTTAGTCTTCCTGCGTATAGCAAATCTACCCTACCTTCTTTGCCCCCTTCATAGCTAGATTTTTGGAAAGAATTGTGTGTATTTATTCATGTAGTTACCATTTTGGGTTCTCTGTTTCTTTATGTGGATCCATATTTCCATCTGCTAACATTTTTCTTCAGCCTGAAGGAGTTCCCTGAAGATTTTTGTCATGTGGGTTTGCTAGTAATGAATTCTTTCAGCTTTTGCACGTCTGAAGAAGTGAAGAAGTATTTATTTCGCCTTTTTTTTTTTTTTTTTTTTGAGATGGAGCCTTGTTCTATAGTCCAGGCTGGAGTGCAGTGGCACAGTCTTGGGTTACTGCAACCTCCGCCTCTGGAGTTCAAGCGATTCTCATGCCTTGGCCTCCCTAGTAGCTGGGATTACAGGTGTCTGCTACTGTGCCTGGCTAATTTTTATTAATTTTTTATTTTTAGTAGATATGGGGTTTCACCATGTTGGCCAGGCTGTTCTGGAATTCCTGACTTCAAGTGGTGTGCCTGCCTTGGTCGCCCAAAGTGTTGGGATTACAGTCGTGAGCCATCGTGCCCAGCCAAAAGAATTTTTTTTTGAGACAGAGTCTCACTCTGTTGCCCAGGCTAGAGTGCAGTGGAGCGATCTCTTGGCTCACTGCAACCTCTGTCTCTTGGGTCCAAGAGATTCTCCTTCCTCAGCCTCCCAAGTAGCTGGGATTACAGGTGTGTGCCAGCTTCATTTTTGAAAGATATTTTTTCTGTATACAGAATTCTAGATTTATAGGTTTTTTCTTCTCTGATGTCTAATTTGTCATTAATCTCATGCAGTGCAGTTTTTCATCTCAGACACTGTAGTTTTTGTAGTCAGAGATGCGGCTCTTGCTTGCTTTGTTTCCACTGAGAAGCCTGTTGTTATCCTTTGTTCCTCTCTACATAATGTATTTTTTTTCCTCTGGTTGCTTTTAAGATTTTTTTGTCATGGGTTTTGAGCAATTTGATTGTGATGTACTTTGGTGTAGTTCATTGAGTTTGGGGTTTGTTGAGCTTCTTGGATCTATGGATGTATAGTTTTCATCAAGTTTGGAAAGTTTTTGGATATGATTTCTTCAAATATTTTTCTGTTCCTCCATTCTGTCCTCTTGCCACTACTCCAGTTATCTGTACATTAGGCCACTTGAAATTGTCCTACAGCCCACTGATGCTCTTCATTTCTTTCCATTGTTTTTTTTTTCCCTGTGTGTTTAATTTGGATAGGTTCCATTGCTGTCTTCAAGTTGACTATTTTCTTCTGTATTGTCTAATTTGCCATTAATCTCCTGCAGTGCAGTTTTCATCTCAGACATTGTAGTTATTATAGTTTTCATCTTTAAAAGTACGATTTGGGCTGAGCGTGGTGGCTCATGCCTATAATCCCAGAACTTTGGGAGGCCAAGGAAGGTGGATCACTTGAGGCCAGGAGTTCAAGACCAATCTGGACAACACAGCAAAACCCCGTCTCTAGCAAAAATACAAGATAATTAGCTAGGTGCAGTGACTCATGTCTGTAATCCCAGCTACTTGGGAGGCTGAAATGGGAGAATTGCTTGAACCCGGGAGGTGGTTGTGCCACTGTACTCTAGCCTGGATGACAGAGTAAGACCCTGTCTCAAAAAGAAAAAAAAAAAAAAGCCAGGCTCAGTGGCTTACGGCTGTAATCCCAGAACTTTGGGAGGCTGAGGCAGGAGGCTCACCTGAGGTCAGAAGTTTAAGACCAGCCTGGCCAACATGGCGAAACCCCATCTCTACTAAAAACACAAAAAATTAGCTGGGTGTGGTGGTAGGCTCCTGTAATCTCAGCTACTCTGGAGGCCAAGGCAGGAGAATTGCTTGAACCTGAGAGGCGGAGGCTGCAGGGAGCTGAGATCGCACCACTGCACTCCAGCCTGGGTGATCGAGCAAGATTCAGTTTCAAAAAAAAAAAAAAAAAAGGTATGATTTAATTGTTTTAATTTTTATTTATTTCTTTGAGACAGGGTCTCACTCATTCGCCCGGGCTGGAGTGCAATGGCTTAATATCGGCTCACTGCAACCTCCGCCTCCTGGGTTGATTTGATGTTTTTTAATATCTTATATCGTGGTATCTGCTTTACTTTTTGAATGTAAAACAGTTATTGTTGTTTTAATATCCTTGTCTGCTAATTCTGACATGGGTGCAAGTTTTGGGTTAGTGTTGCTTGATTGATTATTCTCATTACATGTCCTATTTTCCTGCTGCTTTATATGTCTGATAATTTTTTTTTTTTTTTTTGCGGGGACAGAGTCCTGCTCTGTTGCCCAGGCTGGAGTGCAGTGGCGCGATCTTGCCTCACTGCAAAATCTGTGCCCTGGGTTCAAGTGATTCTCCTGCCTCAGCCTCCCGAGTAGCTGGGATTACCGGCGTGTGCCACCATGCCCGGCTAATTTTTGTATTTTTAGTAGAGACGGGGTTTCACCTATTGGCTAGGCTGATATTGAACTCCTGACCTTGTGATCCGCCTGCCTCGGCTTCCCAAAGGGCTGGGATTACTGGTGTGAGCCACCATGCCCGGTCATGTCTGATAATTTTTTATTGGATGCCAGACATGAATTTTACTTTGTTGAATGGTGGGTATTTTAGATTCCCTATTCTTTTTTTTTTTTTTTTTGAGTGGAGTTTCACCCTTGTTTTCACAGGCTGGAGTGCGGTCGCATGCTCTCGGCTCACTGCAACCTCTATCTCCTGGGTTCAAGCAGTTCTTTGTCTCAGCCCCCTGAGTAGCTGAGATTACAGGTGCCTGCCACCACGCATATAAATATAAATATTTATATAAATATAAAATTTTTGTATTTTAGTAGAGATGGGGTTTCACCATGTTGGCCAGGCTAGTCTTGAGCTCCTGACCTCAGATGATCCACCCACCTTGGCCTCCCAAAGTGCTGGGATACAGGCGTGAGCCACCACACCTGCCCCTGCTATATATATTCTTGAGCTTTGTTCTGGGGTACCATTAATTTACTTGAAAACAGCTTGATTCCTTCAGGTTTTTCTTTTTTTTTTTTTCTTTTTTTTTTTTTTTTGAGAGGGAGTTTCGCTCTTGTTACCCAGGCTGGAGTGCAATGGCGCGATCTCGGCTCACCGCAACCTCCGCCTCCTGGGTTCAGGCAATTTTCCTGCCTCAGCCTCCTGAGTACCTGGGATTACAGGCACGCGTCACCATGCCCAGCTAATTTTTTGTATTTTTAGTAGAGACGGGGTTTCACCGTGTTGACCAGGATGGTCTCGATCTCTTGACCTCGTGATCCACCCGCCTCGGCCTCCCAAAGTGCTGGGATTACAGGCTTGAGCCACCGCGCCCGGCCTCAGGTTTTGCTTTTAAGCAAGAAAACTAGCTGTGTTTTCTTTAGAGTTAATTGTGTCTCACTACTGAGGCAGGTCCCTTTGTGTACTCTACTCAGTGCCCTGTGAATTACGAAGTTTTCCGGTCTAACCGGTAAGAAGAGGTACCGTTCCCTGCTCTGTGTGAAGTTGGATACTGTTCCTTCTCATCCTTTCTGGTAATTCTTTCTCTGGCATTGGGTAGTTTACTCACATGCATGTGCTGACCAGTACTCTGCTGTATACTTGAGGGGGGCCTCTACAGATCTCTGGAGTCCCCGCTTATGTAGCTCTCTCACCTGCAGTATTGTGTCCTGCAAACTGGCTTCTTTGTCTTCTTGGACTCTTAGTTCCATCTCTTCAACTGAGAGAGTCTGCTGGGCTCTGCCTGGACTTCCCCTCCCTGCGCCACAGAGGGAACGCCCTCAAGGCAGTAAGTTGGAGTGTTGTAGGGTTCTCCTCATTTGTCAGCTGTTGCTCCGACATCACTATCCTCTGGTACCTGATAACTAATTTCCTGAAACTGTTGTTTCATATATATTATCTGTTTATTTGGTTGTTTCAGTAGGGAAGGTAAATCTGGTTCCTGTTACTCCATCTTGGCCAGAAGCAGAATTTCCAGAGAATGTTTTTGAATCTCTGAATGAATCCACAGAGCTCTATGGCCCCAGTGTGAGGTAGATCAGTAGGGTAACTGTAGTTTATAATAAGCTATTGTATATTTCAAAATAGCTAGACGAGAAGAATTTGAATGATTCTAGCGTGAAGAAAAGACAAATATTTAAGGTGATGGATATCCCAATTACACCGATCTGATCTTTACAGATTGCATGAATATATTGATTATCACATGTGCTCTGAATACCTGTTATGCATCAGCAACAACAAAAAGCTCTACAGGAATATTCTTTGAGATCTTATACAAATGCGCATACCTTAGGAAGCCCCTAAATCTTCCCAACTTTGAAGTCAGTTGGCCACTGACACACCAGTGACATGCTGCTGGCACGCAGAGCTCATCACACAGCCAGTGGTTCCCTAACCACATGGTGAGCTTTCCTGAGGGCTGCAGGCCTCATTGGTTTCTGCTGGCTGGTGCCTGGCATAAAGTCTGGCAGCTGGTGTTGAGCTGATAAGAGTTAGAGGGCAGGAGGCATTACTACAGAGGTGAATGGAGATGGCTAAACAGATGTATGAGAGTGCCTGGGACTCTTCCCTTATCTGAGCATTGTGCCCAAGTCCCACCTTCTGGCTCCAAAGTGGGAGACAGTTCTTTTCTTTTTCCTCCTGTTGCTGCCACTGCACTGTTGAGCCTGTCTCCCAGCAATCCCAAGGGCAGCAGCCCAAAGGTGGCAGCCAGGAGAGCAGAGTCCAGCTGTCAGAGGCCACCTCAGGAAGGAGCTGCTGTGTGGCTTGAGTAGTGTTCTTTAGGCAGTGTGGCTCAGCATCTCCGAGGTATGATGGCAGGGAGCCTACGGCTTGTTCTGGAGTAGCAGCCAGAAGACTTTGCTCCTAGACTGGGCTCTGCTTCTTACCAGCTGTCTGCCATCGGACACTCTGCTGAGCCTCTCTGTGCCTTGCGTGGTTACCTGTTCAGTGGGCTTGATAACCCTTGTCTTCCCCATCTCACAGAATTGTTACAGTGTATGCAAAGATGCTTTACCCTAGTAGAATCTTGCATAGAACCATTATCATTTTCTGAGAAATTATCAAACAAATGAAAATCTTATCAAAAAATGAAAGTTTTTATGTTCTATATTCCTAATTAGATGTCTGAACTGGAATGTTTTCAGTTATAATCTGCATGGCAAGCAGCAAGTTTATGGCAGAGCTGTGTGTTTGTATATTTATTTCACATTCTTTTTTTTTTTTTTTTTTTAGTTATTTTGCTAGTTACCTATCACCTGGATGTTTGTTTATTTTTTGAGACAGAGTCTTGCTCTGTCACCCAGACTGGAGTGCAGTGGCATGATCTCGGCTCTCTGCAACCTCCGCCTCCTAGGATCAAGCAATTCTCTTGCCTCAGCCTCCCTAGAAGCTGAGATTACAGGTGCCGACCACTATGTCTGGCTAATTTTTATATTTTTTAGTAGAGATGGGGTTTTGCCATGTTGGCCAGCCTAGTCTCAAACTCCTGACCTCAAGTGATCTGCCTTGGTGTCCCAAAGTGCTGGGATTACAGGTGTGAACCACCACACCTGGCCCTATTTGACATTCATTAATCTATTAATAGTATCCGCTTGTGACCTTCCTAACCTGGGAGATGGTGAGTAGCTCTTTGATAGTTTAATGAAAGGAGACCTTTTTGTCTCCAAGGGGAAAATTTCGTGTTGGAGGGGAACATTTGGGGTTCATTTGTTTTGAAGTCAAATATGACTCAATGTGCTGGCATGTTTTGGTTGCAGAAGAAAGTGGTCACTTATGGTCGGAGGAGCAGCCAGCTCACCCTCTCCAGGTCGGGGCTGTGTACCTGGGTGAGGAGGAGCTCCCACATGACCCGATGGGCCAGGACAGGGCAGCAGAAGAGGCTGATGCGGTGCTGGGGCTGGATACCCAAGGCGATCACATGGTGATGCTGTCTGTGATTCCTGGGGAAGCTGAGGACAAAGTGAGTTCAGAGCCTAGTGGTGGCACCTGTAGCGCTGGAGGAGAGGAGGACTCAAAGTGCACCCTCCGAGAGAGCCTTTTCTCTCTGGATAGTGCTGGATCACACTTCCCTGATAGAGAAGAGGAGTATTACACGGAGCCAGAAGTGGCGGAATCCGACGCAGCCCCGACAGAGGACTCCAATAGCACTGAAAGTCTGAAATCCCCAAAAGTGAACTGTGAGGAGAGAAACATTACGGGATTAGAAAATTTCACTCTGAAAATTTTAAATATGTCACAGGTAAGGAAAAAATATTTAGTGTTTTTCTCCTTTTCCGTACATTCATTTTATGATTAATACTCTATAAACTTTGAAATGGAAAGTCATAACCTTTATCATATTGTAAGCGAGATGGCGTGTAATAGCTGCTTCAGTGAACATTGACTTTGTCCTCTGTGATGTTTACAGGGAAAGGAGGAAATATAACTAGTGTTGATTATGCTCTTCAGGTGGCCTAAACCTAGTCTTCCTTGGGCCAATCCCACTACCAAACCTCATGATAAAAATCCCAATGGACAGATAGTTGCTGTCATAGAATTTTTTTTTTTTTTTTTTTTTTTTTTTTTGAAATGGAGTTTTGCCCTTGTCCCCTAGGCTGGAGTGCAGTGGCGTGATCTTGGCTCACTGCAACCTCGGCCTCCTGAGTTCAAATGATTTTCCTGCCTCAGCCTCCTGAGAAGCTGGGATTACAGGCACTCGCCACTGCAAGTGGCTGATTTGGTATTTTTAATAGAAATGGGTTTTCATCATGCTGGCCAGGCCAGTCTTGAACTCCTAACTTTGGGTGATTCACCCACTTCGGCATCCCAAAGTGCTGGGATTACAGGTGTGAGCCACCACTGATGAAAAGTTTCTCTTTCATCAGTGACTGTGGGGTGGTTGAGAAAACAAAAGTGTAGGATGCATTCACGCTGCTTATTAAGAGAAGTAAATCCTGACTCTGAGAACTGTGATTGCTTGTTGTCAATGAGGGCACAGCACCTGTAATGCATATAGCTCCTCCAAGGGCAGGGCTCAGTGCTGGCTTTGCATCCACTCCTGAGTCTAAGTTATGGATTAAACAGGTGGTAGTAGGAATGGTGTGCTCTTTTTTTTTTTTTTTTTGAGACAGAAGTCTCACTCTGTAGGCCAGGCTGGAGTGCAGTGGCATGATCTGGGTTCACTACAATCTCTGCCTCCCAGATTCAAGTGGTTCTTCTCTCTCAGCCCCCTGTATAGCTGGGATTGCAGGCACATGCTACCACACCTGGCTAATTTTTGTATTTTTAGTGGAAAGGGGGTTTTATCATGTAGGCCAGGTTGGTCTTGAACTCTCCCGACCTCAAGTGATTCACCCGCCTTGGTCTTCCAAAGTGTTGGGATTACAGACGTGAGACACTGTGCCTAGCTAGGATGGTGTACTTTTAAATTAATCTAACCTTTGGCCAAATACATTGATATGACTGCTTAGTTCAGAGCTGAGATGATAGTTTGGATCTGAGATCATAGTCCTCTAATATTTCCATGTTAGATGGTTTGAGATGTACCGTTCAAAGGTGGGGACAATTGCCTGGACTCTGTGAGGACTTAGTACAGGCATACCTCAGAAACACTATGGGTTTGGCTCCAGACCACTGTGATAAAACAAATAACGCAGTGTAGCAAGTCACAGGAATTTTCTGGTTTTCCAGTGCATACAGAAGTTATACTATATTGTAGTTTATTAAGTATGCAGTAGCAATATGTCTAAAAAATGTATATACCTTAATTTACAAATACTTCATTGCTAAAAAATGCTAACAATCATCTGAGCCTTCAATGAGCTGTAATCTTTTTGCTGGTTGAGGGTCTTGGCTTGATGTTGATGGCTACTGACTGATCAGGATGGTAGTTTCTGAGAGTTGGTGTGGCTATGGCAATTTCTTTGAGACAGAGTATCACTCTGTCACCCAGGCTGGAAAGCAGTGGTGAGACCATGGCTCACTACAGTCTTGACCTCCCCAGTTCAAGTGATCCTCCCAGCTCAGCCTCCCAACTAGCACTATAGGCATATGCCACCACACCTGGATAATTATTATTATTATTATTTTTCATAGAGATGGTGTCTTACTATGTTGCATAGGCTGGTCTCAAACTTCTGAGCTCAAGTGATCTTCCCGTCTTGGCCTCCCAAAGTATTGCAATTAGAGGTGTGAACCACCACGCCTGGCCCACACAGTTTTTTTCTTTTTCTCTTTTTTTTTTTGAGATGGAGTCTCACTCTGTCACCCAGGTGGAGTGGAGTGGCATGATCTTGGCTCGCTACAACTTCTCTCTACCAGGTTCAAGCTATTCTCCCACCTCAGCCTCTTGCCAAGTAGCTGGGATTACAGGCGTGTGCCACATGTGCAGCTAATTTTTGTATTTGTAGTAGAGACAGAGTTTCACCATGACCAGGCTGGTCCTGAACTCCTGACCTCAAGTGATCTGCCCACCTTGGCCTCCCAAAATGCTGGGATTACAGGCATGAGCCACCATGGCTGGTCTTTGGCCCACAGTTTCTTAAGACAATGAAGTTTGGCACATTGATTGATTCCTCCTTTCACAAAAGAATTCTCTGTAGCATGCAATGCTGTTTGATAGCGTTTTACCCACAGTAGAACTTCTTTTAAAGTTGTAGTCAATTCTCTTAAACCCTGCCTCTGCATTATCAACTAAGTTTATGGAATATTCTAAATCCTTTGTTATCATTTCAACAATGTTCACAGCATCTTCACCAGGCATGGATTCCATCTCAAAAAACGACTTTCTTTGCTTATCCATAAAAAGCAACTCCTCATCTCTTCAAGTTTTATCATGAGATTGTAGCAATTCAGCCCTGTCTTCAGACTCCACTTCCAATTCTAGTTTTCTGTTTCTACCACATCTACAGTTCTGTCCTCCACTGAAGTCTTGAACTCCTCAAAGTCATCCACGAGGGGTGGAGTCAGCTTCTTTAAAATGCCTGTTAATCTTGATATTTTGACCACCTCCCATGAATCACAAATATTTTTAAAGTAATCTAGAATGGCAAATCCTTTCCAGAAGGCTTTCAATTTATTTTGCCCAAATCCATCAGAGGAATTTCTGTCTATAACTATAGCCTTAAAATGTATTTCTTAAATAATAAGAGTTAAAAGTTAAAATCCCTCCTTGATCCATGGGCTGCAGCATCGATGCTGTGTTAGCAGGCCTGGAAACAACATTCACCTCCTTGTGCTTCTCCACCAGAACACTTGGGTGATCAGGTGCATTGTCAATGAGTGTAATATTTTGAAAGGAATCTTCTTTTCTGAGCAGTAGGTCTCAACAGCAGGCCTAAAATACTCAGGAAACCGTGCTGTAAACGGATGTGTTGTCATCCAGGCTTTGTTGTTCCTTTTCTAGAGCACAGACAAAGTAAATTTAGCATAATTCTTAAACGCCCTAGGATCTTCAGAATGGTCAATGAGCAATGAGTATTGGCCCTGCGGTTGTGCATACCTTTAGTCCCAGTACTTTCAGAGGCCAAGGTGGGTGGATTGCTTAAACCTAGGAGTTCCAGACCAGCCTGGGGAACATGGCAAAACCCCATCTCTACAAAAAATACAAAAATTTGCCAGGTGTGGTGGTGGGCACCAGCTACTTGGGAGGCTGAGGCAGGAGGATTGCATGAGCCCAGGAGGTCGAGACTGCAGTGAGCCATGATTGCACCACTGTACTCCAGCCTGGGTGACTGAGTGAGACCTTGTTAAATAAATAAATAAATAAATAAGACACCAGTGGCATTGGCCTCTAAAAAGAGTCCACCTGTCCTTGAGGCTGGGCATTGACATCTCCTGTCTAGCTTATGGAAGTCCTAGAGGGTATCTTACTCCAATAGAATGCTGTTTTATCTATATGAAAATTGGTTGTTGAGTATAGCCACCTTCATCAATTCTCTTAGCTAGATGTTCTGGGTAAGTTGTTGCAGCTTTCTCTGT